TTTAAAATTTTGCCCGATTTTATTCCGACATTGTATTTTAAACTGAAGTTTCAGCTGAACGCAAATTGAGCGTGTTAGGGGGAACGTGAACATTTGTTTGCATTAGCAATCATCTGTTTATAATCAATTTATAATATCTAGAACAGCGGGCATTTCGTATGACCGCAGGGCTTTCCAGTTGTCTTTTATAATTGCTTGACTCATATCAGGTTTTAATTTCTAAACTTAATACCCGTTACTACAATCGTATTTAAAACAATGTTGCACACAGCAATATATATTAATCAGAGCTTTTCCAAGTTTGTTATCTCAGTTTATTTTTAAAATATGCGTAGCTTTTCTTTTCTCCGTTCTCTTATAATTAATTAGAAAAGTCAAACTTAATGTACATTTAAAAATTTATGTGACGAATTTTTTGAATGAATAGTTTAAAAAATACTTAAATTAAATACCCAGTGAAACATTTCAGTAACAGATTTATGCAATAATTTATTCCGTGAGAGGAATATAAAGGTGACGTAAAGTTTATGAATGATAAAGTCGCAGTGTTAATTTATTTCAGGCAGTAAAATTAAAATGCATTATTTCATAAATAAATTATAAATCTTCAGTGTTGAGATTTCTCAAGTGTACTGCCGAAAGAAAATGATTGCCTACTTCTTTGAGGATTATTGATTTTGATCAGAAAGACTTCTCTTGTACAAACATAGAAAAAGAAGCTTCGAGCTACTTGTAAAAGGATACAAACGCATGGAAAATTTTTACGCCATCTTCTTTAGTTTTCTCTTTAATTTTATAGAAAGGTTTTTCTTTTGTATATCCTTTTTATTATTTGAACTAGAACTCTAAAGAGAAATAACTAAGGAAAAGAAAGTTCGTTTTATTTTCTTTGAATTTACAAGTTCTTTTACTACTACTTGAGTTTTATCGTAATATTCTAGTTACTAACTGAATTCCATGGTAAGAACTCTAAGGATTATTCGAACAAAAAAAGTGTCTCGCTTAATATGAGCGAATAATTCTATGTAAAACTTAGAAACTACTTGAAAAAGAAAATGCACTTGAAAAGTAAATGCACACGAAAACGTAAATTTTCTTGTGTATTTACTGTATAGTCAAATGTGTGTATAGTAAAATTGTATATATAGTAAAATTGTATGCATTATCACATAGATGTATGTATAGTAAAATTGTCAGGTCTTTTCCTAAAACAGAATGAGATGAAATGCTTGGGAAATAAGGTATGCTATTTAGAAAAAAAAATCTGTTCACCCAAATTCCATGGGCACAAGTTAAAAAGAAAACTGCATGTTTCCAAAAGCTATTCAGACTAGTAGAATTATAAATTAAATCTTTCGTTAAAAGGGCTAGAATTTTAAGGATTTTAATACTTTCAAGCTAATTTAATTAAAGTGTTTCTCTTAAAGAATTAAAAAATATATTGAAAATATACAATTAAGAGACGAACATATGTGGTTTAAAAATTTATGAAAATGTATTTTTTCAAGAGAAATTCATAAATCTCTTATTATTGCACATTTTTATACTTTTGATCATGTATTCTATAATTATACTTAACTAAACAGAATAAAATGTTTTACCCATATTGTTGCGTGCGTACGGGTTCGTTACAAAATGAATGCACAAGTCCGATGAAAAATGAACAAAAATTTATTATTATCACAACAAATATGCTTAAATTTCCTAAAATATTCGTGCAGTATTACAATATCTCACAATAGTTATCTTTTAACTACTCAAACGTTCAAGAGAACTTAATTCAAAACAGCTAAAGAAAGCTAATCCGCGAATTCGCTACAGTCAACAAGAGTTTTCTAAACAGCAAAAACTAGTAATACTACGAACTGAGAGGTTTCCTCCTTTATAAGATTTAAAATCGCGCACGAGAATTTTCTAGTACTTCTCTAAATCAAAGAGATATTATTAAATGTAATGCACACGCTCTGTATTCAATTCTTACGGTAGCTTCTATTATTTCAACGCCCCTGCGAGGGTAGGATGTGTGTCAGCTGAGCTCCCTTAAAAAGCATTATTAACCGCAGAAATATCTACCCCACAGAAGAAATTTTTATTCCAAATTGTGCGCGAAGTGTTAACCTACATGTGGATACCTAAATTTTGTGTGTGCGACAAAAATTAGCGAAGTTATAAAAGTTTTTGTGTGAAAATTACAAAGGAATCCGTCCGCCGCACTTCAACGGTGTTTGTGCTTACCAGCATAACGGTCACCTCGACGAAAACGTGCCGACGATCTACCACGTGGCGACCGGGGTAGGCCTAAGTTTTCAGTGTAACTGTAGTGCCCAAAAGTGCTTATTTTTTCAAAATTCAAAATCTCGCGATCTACTCGACATAGCTACTCCATCTGAAGAAGACTAAGGTAGGACTGTTATTCTCCTTCCATTAATATACCGCAATAGCCTGTAACTGAATTTTTTCAACATTTGATATCAGGACTTAGAATATTCTTCGACCATTCTAGCGTCTCTCTCAGTTAATATTTTGCTTATTTTGTTAAAATTCAATAACTTGGCCCTTAATTACCTTAGCGAACTGCTCTAAAGATGTTTTTAACTGTCTAATAGTTTTCTTTCTGTTTATTGCATTTATGTTTATTTCAAATTATTTTTTGCATTTGGGTATCTTTAATTACATGCACTGTTAACATTATATGTTCAAGGTATTTTAATACCAAGTGTAAATTTTACTTATTTTTGTAAAAATCAATAACTTTGACCTCATACGCCCTAGAACAACCATCTAAAAAGTTTTTTTTTTTTTTTTTTTTTTTTTTTTTTTGCATAGAATTTAATGCTTGTTTAATTTACTTAAATGTTTTTCATGTATCAGTGTTATTCCATGTTCTGATTATTTACTGCCTACTGTATTGTAAATTTTCTTGCCAACATACCCTGTTTTATTTTCTTGCAAAAGCAGCACAGGGTCCGTCCTTACGGTTTGACAATTGTTTAATTTTGTATTAATTTTTAGCTTTTAGTTATTTCTGATTGCTTAATCAACCTTTTTAACTAACATTTATTGGTTATAAGTGCCTCTAGTGTGTTTTTCGATAATTATTATCTGGTTCTGTTTATTAATTTGTATTAATTATTACATTTATTTTGTTTGATCTTGTGTTTTCTCATTTGAATGCAGTATAATATGGAACCCTCTTAAGATCCTTATTTGCATTATAATGTGCTAAAATATTATATTGTAATTGCATTAATTGTAATATTTATCGGACTCTTCACCATAGTGTATTCACCATACGGCTGTTCACACGTTTCTAAAAGGTCATTCTGTTAAATGTAAATAATGCAGCTACAGTGAGCTCATATTACGTGCCACTACTATTACCTTTCAGTGACAATTTTAGAGTGCAACATTAAATTTATCTTAGATCATCACCCCAAGTTCAACTCACCACTATTAGCGATTTAGCCTCAGCACACCAAATAGTGCGCACAGTATTACACGGAATATCATGTCTCGTGCTTCAGTTATTCCAGCTGATAGTGATTCCACCTCTACATCGCATACCATAATAGACGCCTCAGCAGTACTTACATCGGACCTGACCCACGTGGAGAAAGTCACCATCCTATACAAGGATATCAGGCAGGTAGCGACTACGACAAATCGAGGCGCCAAATTCCTTCTGTCAACAGATCTTCGAGGGCGCCTACTAGATTCACTGGCTGCACTCCAAACGCTGGCCCTAGAGGGTCCGGAATTCACGGTTAAACCTGCAAAAGTTGACACAGGAGTAAACACTTCAACAGTGTTCTGCTGCGAAATTTCTCATACACAGCAACTAGCGTCAACTGCTCAGCAGCCACACGATCCCCATACTCCAACACCACCACCAGCAATCACATATCCGACATTTGCGGAGATTGCCCGGAAAACTAAAAAACCGTGCCTGTACATACGCCCAAAAACAGACATTACAGACGCAGAGCTAAAAGAACAGCTCAACGCCAAATTGCCTCTCTCCAAGTTAAAAGTCGGCGCGTTGAAAGAGTAACAAAGAGCAACAAAGGCGGCTTTGAAGTAGTCTGCAAATCCAAAGAAGATGTCGCAGCCCTTGAACAGCAGATCAAGCAGACAGAACAGAAATCCCTGCGGACATCAGCAGGCCAAAAATGCGTAAGCCCAGGTTCGCGGTACATGACTTGCCCGAAGCAGCAAATCCCGAAGACGTACTTGCAGAAATTAGCGGTGCCTCAAATATGCCCAGCCCCACCTTCAGGACTCTCCACCGACTCCAAGAGCGCCGCAAGAGCAGGGTCAAGTGGATATTTGAATGTGAGCCCGCAAGCTTTGAGGCCATCATGCGTCAGAGAAAAATCTTCCTTGGCTGGCAGGCCCACCGAATCACTGAGCATATTGGCATCAAGCGATGCTACAGATGCCAGCAGTTCGGACACACACAGGCCGACTGCAAAAGCCGCAAGCAATTCTGCTCCTTCTGCGCAAACAATCACGGAGTTAGAGAATGCAACACTCAGATGCCACAATGCATCAACTGTAGAGAAGCTAACTACCGCTACGGGGGACAGATACAACATTCACCACCCAGCGTACCATTCAGACTGCCCGCAATACCAGCGAAACGTGCAGAACATCCGTAACAATACGGAATACTAACAATAAGACAATGGCAAATACTACAAGAAGCAGACAGAATCAGCAACCCCCAAATGTACAGCATAACAATACACAGTTGGACATCAACAGTACGCAATCGCGCAGACAGGACGCAATACAATGTTTGCAGATAAATCTGCAACGCGCTCGTGCAGCAACGGCACAGGCAGCCATATACACACACCACAGAACAGATCGACTTCCTACTAGGACAAGAACCTTATTGTTTACATGGCAAAGCTGTGGGCTACCCCCTACAGTGGACTGTTTTCCAAAAGGAAGATACCAACGAGCCGCCAAGAGCCATTATAGTAAATTGCAACCCTATGTGGACCCCCACTGTAATCATTGCGGAAAGGGACATAGTGGCCATCCTGCTAGAGGTGCACAATCTGACAGCAATCATAGTCTCCGTGTACTCTCCGCCAAAGGCAGATATCGAAAACAGTATCTTGCAAATGCAACAACTGATGCGAGAGCAAAAAATAGACAACGTGTTGATTGCGGGAGACTTTAACTGTCATAGTACAACATGGGGATATGCTACCACAGAGCCAAAGGGACGTACCCTGGAGGATTTTATTTCAAGCAACAACCTGATCTTGCATAACCAGCAAGATGCGCCACCGACTTTTGATCGCGTCCACTCAAGAGGGTGGCCGGACCTTACAGTCTCGACCCTTCAAATGGCACAACTAGTACAAGATTGGATGGTCGTGGAAGGCGTAAGCCTTTCCGACCACAATTACATACGATTCACCATTGCCAGAGCCACAGAAACAACTATCATCAGAAGGTACAACCTACCAGGTCGCAAGGTCAGGTCATTCGTTACAGCTATCAAATCACGCCTGGCACCCTTTAGCAATCGAATTGAGCAAGCAACCACTAGAGAGGAACTACATGTACTCACGAGTGAACTGATGTCAACCATTAGGACGACTTGTGACGACATCCTACCAGTACGAACAATACGACGGGTCACCACATTAAACTGGTGGAATAGCCAATTACGCGCGCAACAGCAAATGTGTCGTGCCTTAAGACGACGGCTAAAAAGTGAGCGACGACTGAGCATCACCTCTAACACACTCACTATATATCAGAAGGAAAGGGCCCAATACAAAAAAAAATGATCATTACCGCCAAACTGGACAGCTGGAGAAAGTTCTGTACAGAAACTACAAATACCTACGGCATACATCACAAGATAGTGGCGGGAAAGCTGTTCAAACAGGCCTCCTTTCATCTCCTGCCAATACCTAACACCAATGAACACCTTACTGAAGCTACATTTACAGAAGTGCTCAACACGGTCTTTACGAAGGACGATCCTACAGATGACACAACGACACAAGCAACCATGCGTAACCAAACCCTGGCTACAGATGCCATGAACGATGCTCTTTTCACAAATCAAGAAATCCTACATGTCCTGCGACAGCTACCGCAAAAGAAAGCACCGGGGCCAGACGGAATAAACTATCGAATAGTTAAGATCGCAATACGGTCGCACGTCAACCTCTTCCGTACCCTTTTCAACAAACTGCTTTCCACTGGCACATTCCCCAGGTGCTTCAAAATTGGTCAAGTTATTCTTTTCCTCAAAAAGAATAAAGACCCAAAAAGAGCGGACTCCTATCGTCCAATATGCCTACTATCAGCGCTTGGTAAGACATTTGAAAAGTTACTCATGAACAGACTGCGACACCACCTGCATACTACCAAATACTTAAGTGGAAACCAATACGGATTTAGAGCAGGAAGATCAACAATCCACGCACTCATGGAAGTCAAGGAGAGCATTTTAGAGAACAAATTTACCGGCCACCACACAGCATTCATATCATTAGATCTAAAGAGTGCCTTTGACACTCTGTGGTGGCCGGCCATACAACATGCCCTGAGAGAGGCAAAATGTCCACGGAATATTTACCACACCCTGGAGAGTTACCTTTCAGAGCGAAAATTGATTCTACCGCATAACAGCGGTGTCATCCAGCAAGACCAAACCCAAGGATGTCCGCAAGGTTCCTGCGCAGGGCCGTTTCTATGGAACGTAACGTACAACATCATACTCACACAGCCGTGGCCGGAACACACAAAAATAATTGCATACGCGGACGATACAGCTCTAATTGTGAAAGGAAACACCAGGGAACAGCTGCAAGCAAATTCCCAGGAATCCTGCAACCTCTTCCAGGAGCGATGCACAGCAATAAAACTCCAAATAGCTGAAACAAAATCTCAAATACTGCTGATTCCTAAAAAAGGGGGCACACTCGCACGCCAACCAAGAATAACGCTCAACGGCCAAAGACTCCGCATTAAGCGAGAACTAAAGTACCTGGGCATAACTTTTGATGATAAACTAAATTGGATCCCTCACGTGCTGGAGCTTAGGAAACGAACAGCACAGATTGCCATCAAGCTCAAGTTGATGAATGGTTACAGATGGGGACTTAACCCCCATTTACTCAAGACCCTGTATATGACAGTCACTGAGAAAATAGTAACATATGGAGCTGCAATATGGGCCTCTCCGATGCAAGGACGCAAAATAAAATATCTACAGAGTATACAAAGGCCGTTTCTGCTCAACATTACTAAAGCTTTTAGAACATCTCCAACGAATGCACTCAATGTCCTGGCCGGATTGCCCCCTCTTTACATAAATGTGGAAAAAGAGGCAGCCTACCAATTGGTGAAGCAGCTTAGCCGCCCTGCGGTGTTTGGTGACCATACTTTTACGGCAGATAACCTAGAACGGGAGTCCAATCGCCTCCACACACACCCGTCGACGCAAGGCCAAGGCGTGCACATTAATATTAAGCAAAACACAAGAGCTACGGACAATGATATCGTATTCTACACAGATGGCTCAAAAACTGACGAGAATGTTGGCTGTGCATACATCGCATTTCGGCAACAGCAACCAATACGCCAATGGAAAGGACACTTGGAATCCAGAAACAGTGTTTTTCAAAGCGAAGCCGCAGCCATTTATCACGCAATAAACACTATTACCCAATATCGACATCAAAACAGTTTTATAATAACAGACAGTCTGTCAGCATTATATGCTATATTAAATCCTATGCACGGCTCCCCCATAATTGCAGCAATTCAAGAACAACTCTCTTTTCACAAGACCTTAAAAATCAACCTAGAATGGACAAAAGCGCATATTGGCAACCTTGGGAATGAGGCCGCAGATCGGCTCGCAAAAGAAGCAGCCCAAAATAATGATGCAGAGACACTGCAAATTCCATGGCCCACCTCATATCTAAAAAAGAGCTTGAAACAGGTCGCTTTCACACTGTGGCAAGAGGCATGGAACAACGATGAGACAGGACGTCGTGCGTATGCGCATCTGCCAAAGGTTGATCCAGAACGTCTTATAGTAAATCCACAACTGGTCTACTATATTACCGGGCATGGCCCGTTCCCAGTCTACTTTGAAAGATTCGGCAAGACGACTACCTCCTTATGTTGCTGCGGTGAACTGGGAACGCCAGAACACTATGTCGAAAAATGCTCACTAACGGAGGATCTACACATCCCGTTCCCAGAGACAAACAGATTAGCCTTCAGCAGGTTCATAATTAAGCAGCGACATCTCAAACGCAGCATTACAAAAATTGTTGACAAGCTTATGGGCTTAGGAACAAACCTATGCCAAGTGTAAACCATTTAAGAGTACTTAGTGCATCATGCAACATTCCCATACCAGCTAAAGGGAGCTCACTGGCAGCATTATATAATTGTAACTGCACATATGAATGGCTCTAACTTATTATGTATGCAGCAGTAGTATACAAGTACTTTGTCTTCATAAAACGCAGTAATGGCAGCATCTGTAATCACAGTCAGCAGCATCATATGTACACATGAAATACCAAATGTATGCTTTATGTACTCCTATATTCTGCCACCAATGCACTGTTATCTTCGTATTTTTGTTGTAACGCCAGTCTGCAATTTCACTATACGTATTAAATTTGCAATGCGTATTTCCCCCCCCGGTATTTAATTCAATAATCATGTATATAACTCACTATCTCGTATCAGTATAATCTCACCCTCTCTATGTTTCAATATCACCGCACTATGCATCTCAAGTCTGTAATTTATATACGCCATTATTACACACTCCTATATCCTGTCACCAAGTGAACTGTTTTGTTTATGTATTCTTGTAGCGTCTGTCTGCATATCTTGCTACGTATTTAACATTATAATACGTATTTCTCTCCCATATTTAATTCAGTAATCCTGTATATAATTTATTATCTTATATCAGCATAATGTCACCCTTTCTATGTATCAATTACCTTACTATGTATTTCAAATTTGTAATTCATATATCCTCCTTGTATAACTCAGTAATCCGGTATCTAATTTAGCATCTTGCATCAGTATAAACTCACAAGGTACTTCATGTCACATTTATTCAGTAACAGCATGTTTCATGTTTCAGTATGTTCAGTTTCCCATGTTTCTCTGTCTTTCAAATATCAGTATAACATAAGTATTAGTATCAGTATCTTATTTCAGTATATCCTCATTATGTTACCCTCGTGTTTCAGAATGCTCAGATACAATGTGCTTTACTATGTACCTCAAGCACCAGTATAACCTTTCTATACAATTCAATATTGACATATGTATATATCTCTCCTGGATATAATTAAGTATTCCGTATATAACTCAGTACTTTGTAGCAGTACATTATGTATTTCACGTATTAGAATGTACAATTATAGTATGTTATATGTTTCAGTATGTTCAGCATTTCCTGTTCCAACATGTTTTTCAAGTCTCAGTACAATCTCACTATGCCTTCTATGTTTGTTATACAAATATCTCTCTTGTATATAATGCAGCAATCCTGTATATAATTCAGTATCTTATATCAGTATAATCTTACCATGCATTTCACGTTCCGGTATGCTCTGTTATAGTATGTTTTCTGTCTCAGTACGTACAGTATTTCATGTTTCATCAGGTATCTCGTGTAATTAGCGTAATCAGTAATATCTCACTATATATTTCATGTTTCAATATGCTCAGTCATAGTATGCTCATGTTCAGTATGTACAGTATTTAATGTTTCACCATGTATTTCAAGTCTCAGAAGTATCTGTATAACCTCATTATGTATATCATATCTTAGTATGTTCAGATACAGTAAGTGTCATAATTCAATATGTATAATACTTCCTGTTTCAATATGTATTTTGAGCATTAGCATAATCTTACTATGCATTACATGATTCTATACCATATTGTACTCCAATATATAATTTAGTAATCTGGTATATAATTCAGCAACTTGTGCATACTAATGTCTGATAATTCAGCCTGCAGCAGCAGTGATGACCCTTGTTTAGCCATGTCATTTTCTACAATATTTGTAAAATAATTTCCCAGTGGCCGCAAGGGTATAGCTGATGCAATGTGGCCTGCATCAGACGCTGGGTTTCAGTGGTCGGTGCGAGGCGTTTTTGTGGACTCAGTGACCTTGGCACGTTTCACTAGACACAGGTGGACGTGGCGCTATACAATTAACCCTAATGGTAGAGGGATGGTGCCCACGTCCTCCGTCGCATGTCGCATGGCTTAGCTTTCTTTTTAATATTCGTCACGTGCTGCACTGCGCGGGAAATAAAACCATTTAATTTACAATTCAACTAAAATAAGCTATTTAAATACCAAATCCGTAACAATATTTATATCGCAAACTGTTCAAAATATACGAAATATGAATTGATATAATGAAATATGAATTGATATAATGAAATATGAATTGATTGAATCAAAATGATATTTCATCGCAGCTTATCATATCCTTAAAATTTCTTTCATGTTTTATCAAATAAGCCAAATTTCAATCCTAACTGTTTGATCTTAAACATTTGTTTTCCCTCTTAAATTTCCTTTTTATTTAACAGGCGGCGCCTCATGTAACGTTTTCTGTCTTTCTTATCTTATTTTCTGCAGCTGAAGAAAAGAAATGTGTATAGTTTTCTTTCTAAACATTTCCAGCCTATTTGTTTGCTTAAAACCGTTCTGTGCGTTGCTTCTTATAAATAAACTGAAATATTATGATTATAATGCTGTGTAGTTGCAGTAG